CTTCTTCTTCTTCTTCTTCTTCTTCTTCTTCTTCTTCTTCTTCTTCTTCTTCTTCTTCTTCTTCTTCTTCTTCTACAAGTCATTAAGCGCTGGTAAAAAGTAGAACCGATAGAAAGTTACGACAGTGAGAAAGAAGACAAAAGTTGAGTCTATCTCCATCCACCGTGAACAACAGCAGTATCACAAAAGGGCAACAACAACAACGATAACAACAACAGCAACAACAACAACAACAACAACAACAATAACAACAACAACAGCAGCAGCAGCAGAAGCAGCAGCAGTTGCAACAACAACAACAACAACAACAACAGTTAACTTATTCTTCCTTCTGAGCAGTCTAAGACTTGAAACAAACATCTCGAGTTCCACTTTGTGACCTCGGGAATCTTGGAGAAGGAGGAAGCTGGCATTTCTTGACCCGGCTTAAACAATCGCAAATGTTCTTGATAACAGTAACCTATCCACTGTTGATATTGCCTGTCATCGGAAGCCAGCTCGGATCCCCTCAAAAATCTCTTTTTCCCTCTTTGTTTTTCACTTATTGGGTGTGCACTTTCAGAGTTTATCATTATGCCAAAGTGTACATACTGGAAGCTTTGTAATTTGTACGAGATCGGTGTTATCGCTTTACATCTGCTCTGTCTTAGTTTTGTTTGGGTATGAAAAAGTGAACGTTTCTTTTGAAAAAAAAGGCTGCTTGCTTCAGATATTGCATCATTCCATTTTATATATCGTCAAACAACTATTCAGATGTGCTGAGCCAATTTGTTGGGTTTTTTTAAATTATTGCAGATTTTTTAATCTGTGGTATTGCTGCATGCGTGCGTGAATATATTGTTCGTACATGCATTTATGTAAAGCGCCTAGAACTGTGTTTACACGGGAGTGGGCGCTATAGAAATGATCTTCATCATCATCATTATTATCATTAGTAGTAGTAGTAGTAGTAGTAGTATTTTGTCGAAATTCAAATTCTAAGAAATGTTGAAACAAGCGAGAAAAGATACATAACGTAGGCAAAATTATTGGTTAAGGAATGAAACATTTTTTTTTAAAATCTCTCCTGGAAAATTCTGATTGTGGCGTCGGTGGTCTAGTGGTTAGGCTGCCGAACTCGTAATCGTGAGGTTGCGTGTTAGGGGGTTCAAGCCGTAGGCCCGACGTTGTGTACTTGGGAAAGGCATTTTACACCAATTTTCCCCACTTCACCCAGGGGGAATGGGTACCCGGCCATAGACAGTAAAAGATCTTTTTCAATATAACAGTGTTTAGCGCCTATAAATGGCTGCTTCCCTGGAAGTTGAGGTTGTTTCAGAATGCTCTCAGGTCTGCTGGGGTAATAGTGCAGATTTTGAAGCGCTTAGAGCTTACTGTTGAACGGGGATTTGCGCTATACAAATGTTATCTATTTTTTATATTATTATTATTATTATTATTATTATTATTATTATTATTATTATTATTATTATTATTATTATTTCTTCGTTTAGAACGGTTCAGCTGCTTGTCGACAACATCGTTTTTCTTGTCTATAAGACAGGGATTTTTTTTTCAAATTTTTCCATCCAAAGAACTTCCTAGAAGATCACTTTTTGTCCGTCATCTGACAGTTTCCTAGCCACCTGAGTCTTCCTGGTATTCGCAGTGAAAGCGCTCAAAAAGTGAACACTAACATTAATTTGACAAGCGAGTTTCTTAAGTTATCTAGGCCAATGGCCCTTAAAAAATAATTGTCATTTGAGAAACCTATAACTGTGGAAACAACATGACCAGATAATATTCATTTCAGTCATTTAAAACTTTGTTCTTTTTCTTTCTTGTTCTTCTTTTTTCTTCTTTTTATATTACCTTTAAAAAAAATTTATTTCATTTCTTTCCGAGGTGTTGGAATAGATTTTCCCGCTTTCGGTGGTTTAAAGAAAACCGCAAATATTAAAACGGCCAATCTGAATAACGCCAGTTCAAGAAAACTAAGTTGGGAATTCAAACTAGGGACCTTGTTTCGCTGTTCGGCATGGTACCACCTGATGTAACACAACGTATCATCTTCTGAAAAATGCCATGATAGAAGCGCTACTACTAACATGGCAGTCCATGAGAGGGACCGAGAGCGTCAACATCTATAGAGATATCTTAGTTTTAGTTTTTGTAGGAGTTTTACGGCAGTAGCAACGTAATAAGGTCATATAAACGTCGAAGATTAGAAGTATTACAAGAGAGTAACAAACACCAAGACGATTGAAGGAGAAATCAAGACGATAGATATTTGATAGGACACACCAGAGCACCCACCAACTACCTGCATTGAAATAATATCTGGTACATCAGCAATGGAAGAAGAAAATATTATAATGGTGAGAATGCAAGTCTGTTGCACGTGGTTCCTTGGACGGAAGGTTTTCCGGCACAACAGACAAGTTGGCAATGACGCGGACGTTATGTATGCCCTGAAAAAAAGGACTCGTTCTTAAAAGAAAGTCGACGGTCTAACTGCAACCCTTGATCTTAACAAGGTCAATCTTAACGACACATGTCAGGGTTGAAACGATTGATTGACGAAACAGTGAGACGAGGCTTAGGGAAAACGACGCAGATATGCACAGGGCAAGAGTAAAACGCCGCCGCCAGCCAATCAGAGCTGAGGCTGCAAAGACAAGACGAAAGTGTAATGAGGGTAGACACAGCAATAACAATTCTCCAGGCTGATTAATGGTGGTGCTTATCGTAAATGAGAACGATGACGTCGATTTATTTTGTTTTCATTTCAACTTTGCGTTGGTTTTCTTCAAAATAGCCCCGGAATTTTAGCTAAATGGCAAAAGTTTTGGTTCCTCGAACGTCTCGGGGTCAGGATGTTGTTGTGGTTTTTGTTGTTGTTGTTGTTGTTGTTGTTGTTGTTGTTGTTGTTGTTGTTTTGTTTTTATTCTTGCTCTTGTTCTTGTTCTTGTTCTCGTTCTTGTTGAGATTTGTTTCGTTCATAACATGAAACACCAAAACGTTCTCATATTCTTTTAGAATATATCTCGCTTTACACTTTTGCGAGTGGCATTACAGAATAGCTTTATTATTTCTTGACTACCTCTCTATACTTGCCCCCCCCCCACTTCCGCAGAAAAAATCCACATCACCAGCATAGAGCTAAAAGGTCGGCAGTTTCTTTCTTTTGCAGACTACTTTTTTAACCCCAAAAAAAAAGATTTTACTTCTCTCATTGGCTGATACAGCAGTGGCAATTGAGAACAGGTGCCGTGCGAATTTACTACAAATCTTCTGCACTCATTCTTTGTCTTTGTAAGATGCATGATCAAGAAATTTAGTTACGGAAGTACAGGCACCCGTGGTGGTGGAGGTAGCTGTCTGATGGTGGTGGTGATGGCGGTGGTTACGGTGGTGGTTATTGTGGTGGTTGTGGTGGTGGTTGAGTGATCGTGGTTGTGGTGTCTAATTGCTACTGTTGATTATTATTATCATCATTATCATTATCAGCAGCGGCAGCAGCAGCAGTAGTAGTAGTAGTAGTAGTAGTAGTAGTAGTAAGGTAGTAGTAGTAGTAGTAGTAGTAGTAGTAGTAGTAGTAGTAGTGGTAGTAGTAGTAGTAGTAGTAGTAGTAGTAGTAGTAGTAGTAGTAGTAGTAGCAGTAGTAGTAGTAGTAGTAGTACCATCATCATCATCATTATCATCATCATCATCATCATCATCATCATCATCATCATCATCATCATCATCATTAGTATTATTAAATACAGCGAGTGACAGCAAGAACGTCCGTGTTTAAACAAGAGTACATTAGCTGTGGACTACACTCCTCCACACCGGCCTCACCTGTTGGGTTCTCGACTTGCCATGCTAATTTCATTGAATTGTAAACCGATATTCAGCTGTGCTGTATAAGCGTTAGTTATGAGAGTGGAGTCTCGTATATCGTTCCTGTATACCCTGAAGCATGTTGTACCCAGCTGTATTCACTGCCTGGATCAGATAATTAACGTTCTCTTATTTATTTCCGCAGGTACCGGAAAAGCATCAACCAAGTCCAAAAACCAGGTGATCCTGACTTCAACTAGCCACGTTTCGCCTTCCAGTTTCGACGAACAGCTCTGACAACGCCACACATATATTTAAGTCGTCGTCGCCTACCAGAAACGACCAAACCAAGCTCGAGAGATAACTGCTGGCCTTGCTGGAAACCACGTCTTACCATAATGTCTTCACAACTGCTGATATGTTCCGTCTTCGTTCTTTTCACTTTTGGCCCTAATTCGTTCCCATCGTGCCTCGCGCAGGAGCAAGCGGGAAACAGTGATGCCACTCAGTTATCAGCAGACGCGAAAGCACCGGAGTCTGCAAAGGACAAGAGCGGTGACGTGCAAAATGATGGGACTAAATCAGTCAGAAGTAAACGAGATCTCGAGATAGACTTTGGCAGTGGGGATGTCCAAAAGCGAGCGCGTGAGTTTGTCGGGAAACGAGCAGCCCCGCCCGTATTCCAGACGCCCCTTGTCCAAGACAAAATTTCAGGGTTCATACCTAGCGAAACGGAGAGCCCTGTTATTGGAGAATTCGCTTTTCCCGGAAGTGTTTTCATGGACGACGAGGAACCTCTGGGGGCGGAGGAAGAACCGATGGACGACGAAGATTTAGAGTTTTATAAACGGCCAAGACAGTTTGTTGGGAAAAGGGGCATCGACGACTATCTACTTCAAGAGAAATTAAAAGACTTTATTGAGAAACGGCCAAGACAGTTTGTAGGAAAGCGACCACGTCAGTTTGTAGGGAAAAGACCGAGACAGTTTGTGGGTAAAAGACCGAGACAGTTTGTGGGTAAAAGACCGAGACAGTTTGTAGGTAAAAGACCTCGGCAATTTGTGGGGAAAAGACCTCGGCAATTTGTGGGGAAAAGACCTCGGCAATTTGTAGGAAAGCGACCTCGCCAGTTCGTTGGGAAACGGCCGAGGCAATTTGTTGGTAAACGAGAAGCGGACCCTTCTTTTCTCTTCGAGGACAAACGAGTTCGTGACTTTGTGGGGAAACGGTCGTTAGATTTCCTGGGAGGCGCAAACTGGTACAACCCTTATGACGTCACCATGGAGCCTCAAAGTGAGGGCTCTGATCTTCAGGGATTTTCAAAACGACCTCGACAATTTGTGGGCAAAAGAGACGCTTTCGACATGTTTGAATTCTCGAAGCGCCCACGACAGTTTGTAGGAAAAAGAGACCAAGATGAAATGTTCGATTTTTCCAAAAGGCCGCGTCAGTTTGTCGGTAAAAGGGATTTGCAAGAATTCTTTGATCTGTCGAAACGTCCCCGGCAGTTCGTAGGAAAACGAGAATTTGATGACGAAATAGATTTTTCAAAACGACCTCGTCAATTTGTAGGGAAAAGAGAAAACGACGATGATTTCGACCTTTCAAAAAGGCCCCGTCAGTTTGTAGGAAAAAGAGAAAACGACGATGAATTCGACCTTTCAAAAAGGCCTCGACAATTTGTAGGAAAAAGAGAAAACGACGATGAATTCGACCTTTCAAAAAGGCCTCGTCAGTTTGTAGGAAAAAGAGAAAACGACGATGAACTCGAGTTTTCAAAACGGCCTCGTCAATTTGTTGGGAAAAGAGAAGACGACGAAATCGACTTTTCCAAAAGGCCTCGACAATTTGTTGGAAAAAGAGAAAACGACGGCGAAATCGACTTTTCCAAAAGGCCTCGACAATTTGTAGGAAAAAGAGAAAACGACGATGAAATCGATTTTTCAAAACGACCTCGTCAATTTGTTGGGAAAAGAGAAGACGGCGAAATCGACTTTTCCAAAAGGCCTCGTCAGTTCGTCGGGAAAAGAGAAAACGACGATGATCTCGACTTTTCAAAAAGGCCACGTCAATTTGTTGGGAAGAGAGAAGTCGACGACGAAATCGATTTTTCAAAGCGACCGCGTCAGTTCGTTGGTAAAAGAGAAAACGACGATGATCTCGACTTTTCAAAAAGGCCACGTCAATTTGTTGGGAAAAGAGAAAACGACGATGATCTCGACTTTTCAAAGAGGCCACGTCAGTTTGTTGGGAAAAGAGAAAACGACGATGATCTCGATTTTTCAAAACGGCCCAGGCAATTCGTTGGAAAAAGAGAAAACGAAGATGAAATCAACTTTGCAAAACGACCTCGTCAATTTGTTGGGAAAAGAGAAAATGAAGATGAAATTGACTTTTCAAAACGACCCCGTCAATTCGTTGGAAAAAGAGAAAACGACGATGATCTCGAATTTTCAAAACGGCCTCGACAGTTTGTCGGGAAAAGGGAAAACGACCCCCTTCTTGACTTTTCAAAACGGCCTCGTCAATTCGTTGGGAAGAGAGAAAACGACGATGATCTCGACTTTTCAAAACGACCACGTCAGTTCGTAGGGAAAAGGGAAAACGACCCCCTTATTGACTTTTCAAAACGGCCTCGTCAGTTTGTTGGGAAAAGAGAAAGCGATGGTGATTTCGAACTTTCTAAACGCCCACGGCAATTCGTTGGGAAAAGAGACTTGGACGGCCCTGGACTTTCTAAACGTCCTCGGCAGTTCGTCGGAAAAAGGGAGGACTATGATATAGATTTTGCCAAACGTCCCCGCCAATTTGTTGGGAAAAGGGGGAATGAAGATGAATTTGATATGTCTAAAAGACCACGACAATTTGTAGGAAAGCGCAATTTCGAGGAGCTTGACCAAGACTTTCTGAGACACATGCATGACATCCTCGACAAACGCATCCCCCAATTTGTCAGTTTACCATCACTGACAGCGGCGAAAAGAGTTCGTGAATTCGTCGGCAAGAGAAGCGATGCCGCTTTCCTTGAAACCTTGCGACATCTTCGGGATTATGTAGGTGGGCAAGATGAACAAAACGTTAGTGAGTTTTCCTATCAGCATCCTTACCCCAGCGATTTGAACGACGTCGGATTAATACAGCAGAAACGAATTCGAGAATTTGTTGGAAAGCGTGGAGGAGATGTAGATGACATAAACACAACTAACAGACTTGGAGATTTTGTAAGCAAACGAATGTCCTTTGTTGAAGAACAAAATACTTTGTCGGCAATTAAACGCCTTCGGGATTTCATAGGGAGATGATAGGACAGCCTGGCTGTTTATCAAGCACTGCTGTCTATCTGGCTGGATCTCTTCCCACACTCACAGGAAATCTAGATCGCCAAAGTGACGTCAGCAAGCTCTAACTTTCAGCTCCAAACTCAGGGGGGACCCAATTCGTGGACAGTTACAACAGAGTATTTGTGTGGCCAGTGCCTGTGTTGGAATTATACGTTTCCTGAACTTCAAGACGATTGAAACACCTGTTCAAAGTTATGTTTGAAAGATATAGATGTATACTGCAATTTGGAATGAAAGTAGAGGATGACGCTTTTGTTGAAATTCTAAACTCGAATGTTTACGAGGTTCTCAGGCCATCTGTCCCCAGCAAACGTGTCGTGTTGTGGCTGTCGACAAGAAATAAAGGAATAAAGATTCGAGTCCCCCGACCAGTGTACCTGCCTGAATGTGTCAGGCGTCATCACGTGCCTGCCTTGTTGATAAATCTAATAAATAATCCCTATTTGTTTTGTTGACATTTCGAGGGGGCGTCTTATTCTTCCGGTTTCGGTATTCTTTGCTACCACTGTTTAAAGTTTCTGGCTAGATATAGGTGCACACTGGGACAGGGTTTGAAGGGTGGAGTCAGAGGTTTGTCTATGAAAAGTGGGTGGTCAAAAAATAGGGAAGAGAAAAAGAAAGGGGGGGGGAGAAAAGAGTATGGGGAGTAGATGATTGATTACGATTACGCAACACACACACACACACACACACACACACACATACACACACACATGTGTATATATATATATCAGGGTGTTCTCGTGGCCTTGATGTTAAGGTGTTTGCCTCTCATTCAAAGGTCCCGGGTTCGAATCCGGGAGCGACGGAAAAATTTCATTCTCTAAAATTGTCCCCTTTCACATTCTTTCCTTCTCTCTTACAATATTCTGTCGTCAGTTTTCGTCTCCACTTTCGACCTCCACCCAATCACCTCTTTTGCCCCCTCCTCTGGGCTCCTACCTCTTCTCACAGCCTTCCTACAGCTACTCCTTGGCGCCTTCTTTCTGCTGTCTTTCAGCCACACCCCTGATCTTCTGGCAGGAAAGATCTACACCTTGCTTTCTCGGACAAGGGTGAAAAATCTCAGTTCCCGCGTGCAAGTTGCACACCTTAAAGAT